AACACTTCCATGGGAATTTGGGCACCCCCAAGCCATAAACCCCCATCCCACCTGCTCATCCAGGCTGATGTCACTGCTGGTGCCGCTGATGTTGCTCCCAGTTCTCCTGGGAAGGGGGGAAAGGGGGTGAACATTCCTGAGCAGGGCAGAGCTGCGAGGGGATCCCCCTCTCCCCCAAAACTCACTTGTGGCCCATGACATCAGGCATGGGGAAGATCTCCGGGGCATCAAAGAACTCATTGTTGTCATCATCCTCATCACTCAGGTCACCTTTGGCAGGGCAGCACAGATCTGGGAAAAGGGAGAGGGCCGGTGAGGAAAGGATATCATTCCCAGTTTCCTGCCGAAGGCTCCTCTGTCACCATCAGCAAGGTGAGGGGGTCACACCCTACCCCAGATCTGAGGGGTGTCGGATAAGGCTCAGAAGAGCCAGTCTGGACCCTGTTGTGGATGCCAGAATCACCTGGCTATACAGGTGAGCTGGGACAGACCCATCCCTCGGGATCAGCAGAGTGACAGAAGCTAAGTCTGGCTCAGAAAATCCTGGGAAGCATCTCAGAGACACTTGGGCACAGCACTTGTCCCTCCCCACCTTTTCCAGAGCCTCCAGTGCCGGGCGTGCCGGCAGGGAGCACCGTGGCCCCCCGGAAAGCCCTTTCCAGGTGGTTGTGCTGCTTGGCCAGCTGCTCCAGCGTCTCCTCCAGCCGAATGCGCTGATCCCGCTCCTGCTGCAGCGACTTCTGCCACTTCTTCCCGTGCGTTTGTGCCAGGAGCATGAAATCCCGGCAGGCCTGCGGGGAAACAGCGCTCAGCATGGAAGTGGGGGCTTTTCCCACTGTGGAATCCTCGGGATGGGGACTCACATTGATCATGGCGTTGGAGGTGATGCGGAAGAGCGTGGCCCGCTCGTTGACCTGCTTGATCTTATCCGTGCTCTCCGCAGGGAGCCGCAGGGCCTCGAGCTCGCTGAGGGAGCGCTGCAGGGCCGTGCCGTGCTTGGCGATCAGGTCGTTGCAGGTGCTCAGGTCCTCCACCTTGCTGGATAAAATCCGCAGGGTGTTCTGCAGCTCCGTCTTGTCCGTCTGCGACACGGACTCGTCGCCGGAGTCGTCTGTAGGTGGGAAGGGACGGGGAGTGTGGGATTGTCATGTTCATGCCAGGAGCTGGTGGTGGGACTGCAAGGAAGGGCACAGGGGGATCCCCAAATCCCTAAGGGCTCCCAAACACTGATGGTCCATCTCTGTGCATGTCGGGCTGTTGGGGTCACGCGTGCATGGACATGGCCATCCCCTTCCAAACCTTGCTGGAGATGCTGGGATGCTGCCCAGGGCACTGGGATCTTACCCTGGGGGCACTGGGTTTGTGAGGAACTCGAAGCCCGCCCTAAAGGCACTGATGCTGCCCTGTGATCCTGCCCTGGGGTCACTGGGAGTGTGCCTGAGGGCACTGGGATCCTGTGCCCTGTGGGGCTGGGATTCTTTGGGCATTGGGATCCTGGCCTCAGTTCTGTGAGGCACTGGGATCCTATGGAACACTAATATCCTGCCCTGGGTCCTGTGGGGCTCTGGGAACAAGGCCCGGGGTCTGTGCAGGCCTGAGATCCCACTCTGAGGACACTGATCCTACGCTGGGCATTGGGATTTCACCCTGAGTGCACCGTGACCTTGCCATGGATCCAGGAATTCTGTACCTGACTCCTCCAGCATCTTGACAGCCTTGGCCTTCGCGAGCTCGAGGGCGGTGACCCAGCGCTGCCGCTCCACCTCGGAGCTGGCCTTGAGGTGGTAGGTCTGGGCTCCGCCGTTGGAGATTATGAAATTGCAGGAATCCTCCACGGTGATGTTGGCTGTGGCCAGGTTGATGGTGCCACGGCACGTGTGGCCCATCTCCGCCTTGGATCTGCATGGGAAGGCCGTGGTGAGGGAAAGACAAGGCTGGGATCCCCGGGATGTGCCCTCGGGGGGCTGCGCAGAGGGCTCGGCATTCTCAGTCTGGCAGCCAGGGCTATTAATAGGGAAGGTTTGCTGGCACCAGAGCAGGGCCAAGCCTGGGGATGTCGCTTTGGGGGGGACAAGTCCACAGCCCCCTGGAGCGGCCACAGGGACCCTGGAGCCTCAGGGACCCGGTGCTTCCCGGATCCTGGCAGTGCCTGGGACGAGGGTGAAGTCCCAGAGAGGCCACGCCAGGCTGGCACTCCCCTTCCACGTCAGCAGGTGACAGAGGTGACATCCAGCCGGGCCACCCCCAGCCCAATCACCCCCAGCCCGGTGCCCCCCCGTTGTCGGTGGTGTAACCGGAGCTGGCAGCTGCCAAAGGCTCCGGTTCCTCATCAATAATGGAGGGACAGGGCCACCCCCACAGGGCTCAGGTGTCCCCGCTGGTGACAACACACGAGGCCACCGGGAAGAGCCGCTGGGAGGGACAGCGGGATCCGGGAGCTGCGGGAGGCTGAGGGGGGCTGCAGACCCCCGCCCCCACCTGCCCTCAAATACCCACGGGGACAGGGATGTGACAATCCCGGGGACAACCCGGAGGTGACAACCATGGGGACAGGGGTGTGACAACCGCCCCCCTCTCCTGCTGGCACAGAGGGGCAGCGGGGAGCAGGCTAACGACCTGCCCTCGGCCAAGAGCGGCCCCGGTGACCGGGAGGTGACATCCCCGGTGACATGGAGGTGACAACCGTGGAGACAGGGAGGTGACAGCCGCCCTCCTTCCCAGCTGGCATCGGGGCACCGAACGCTCCCCAGTTCGGTGCGGGGGGCCCACACCGGCTTCCCTC